GATTAAAATGGTTGTGAATTTAGACATTGAAAATATGGAAAATATGTCAAATTTGTAAAATTTTACACTGAATTCAGAAATTTAAATTACACTGTTTTCTATTGCCAAATACATGCGAATGAATGACACTTACTGCCGTTATTTATATTTAATGAAATTTAAGTGGTTGGGAGGGTTGAAATTGAGATGGTCCACTGTTGATTTTACTTAATTCCATCCACTTTATTTGCATATGCGTGCAATTTTCCTTGCTCAGACCATGTGTTCAGAAATTCCTTAACAGTTTCCAGTGTTATTTTCCAAAAAAAATAATGTGAATCTCCAATTCATGAATTATGTCATTGTTTCTTTGTTCCTAAATACAATTTATTTATGTTTCTTGGTAAATATAGTTTATGAATGTATTTTTTTTTCTTTCTTCTTACATTAATTTACATATTATGAATATCAAAATATATTATACTAATTTATTCCTTTGTTTCTATGGAAATAATGTTTAAAGGCCAACGAAGACTAGAACGCAAGTTTTTGTTATTATACTTATAAATTTGATTTTTTTGAATTTCATTATGTACTCGTACCGATATAAATATTTTACGTAAATATATATATATATATATATATATATATATATATATATATATATATATATATATATATATTATATATATATATATATATACATATATACATATAATAGTTTAAATTAATTTTTACTAACAGAATTTAAAAAATAACGTTTTTGTCTTTCTTTTTTTTTTTAAATCAACCACCTTGTTGTGGTCTCGATGTCTCTCGTAAATTCCAATGTAAAATCCACAGCTTTTTGAACTTATTACTATCGAAGTTCAAGATGTAAGTTTTAAGAAATTTTAAGTAGGTACAGGTTTTTTTTTCATTTAATTTGCAAACTTCACTTTTATTCTCACTTTTCTACTTAATTTATTTTGTTTTGACCGATGGAAAATGTTGGTTTTGTTAACACCGAACAAACAAGAAATGTTTTCAATGGATTTTAATTACAACCGTTTTAAGCGTGGAAATAAAAGACCGTTTTTATTCATTTATTTTTCGTAATCACGATAGTCAATGTGGAACTGTTGTACATTTTTCTATTCACTAATGATCAAAACTCGCTTGTATCGAAACAGCGATTGTGGCTTACTATATTTTTGAAAGACTTTATTATCAAACGAAAAATTGTAAATCTTGAAATATAGCTAATTGTGTTACCAATGAAAATGAGAGTGTGAGGAAACTATGTGGACTTTACTTTTCAAATTTTATTTAATTTCATTTAGTCCATTTTTTTCTTGGGATTTAGAAATAACAAATGGAGAAATGACTTTTGTCTTTAGTATTATATATATTTTCAACACTATAAATAGAATACAATACTACAGATTTCATCACATGAGATCTTATAATATTTAGGTAACAATAACAGAAATAATAAATAATATAGTATAATTTTTATTATTAAAGTAGTAATTTTTCATTGTAATAGTTATTTTAAGGCGTAGTTAATCTAGAAACTGTTCATTTAAATAATTTATTTTCAGTGTTGTTAAATCACTCAATACTTGTATAAATATATATTACTTGTAGTATCATTGTCGATCAAATTAACCAAAGCATTTCATTGAAAACATGCATTATAATTGTAAATATTTCTTTTATTATTAATATTAATAGTATTTTATGTAATCCTGATTTAGTTATGAACAAGTGAATATCTTTAAATGTTCTGTCTTATTCATATAATTTAATTTTTCAGTAATCGTTGATTATTATCATGAGTGATTCAGTTTTCTCAAGATAGCTCAAGTCCTCACTTAACAGGCTAAAGATATTTGATTTTTTTTCTATTTATTTTTTGCATATTGCGCATCTAGAACAAAATTGAATAATTTTTAAACTTGAGTCATTTATTTATCTGTACTGTAGCAGCACGGTATATCAATTGTTAAAATTATTGTTATTATTTTAAAATTAATTAAAGTTTTAACATATGTAAAAAAAATTATATAAAACCCCATCCCTCGTAAAAAGATATTTTATGTTCATATAAGAAAATATCTTTGTTAGCTCAGAATCTATCGTTTAAACGGTATGTTGAATTTGTGCTTCTGATTTCTAGTTACATAATTATTTTTGCTGTATAGCAAATAATATATTATTTAAAACAGGTACTTTTTTGTGATTTAATTATTTTAATATATATTAATTGTGCCAATGATTGTAGTTAATTTACCTATTAAAAACCTGTACCATTACAACCCATGAAGAGTCTTGAGATCATTACTATGTAGTGAAGTTACTGTTTCTTGGTCAACGGATTTATATATATTTATTTAATAATTAATTCATGAAATAACTGGTAGTAATTGATTTTGTTGAATACAGTATATCAACATTGAATATGTTTTAAATTATAGACCCAATGCCATCAGTTTCCTGAGCAGATTGTCATGCTGAATCCATAATATTTTGCATGGATGCCCAAATGGGGATCTCAAGGTGCAAGTTGTTCCATCAAAATTTCGAAGAGGCACATTTTGACAGGGGTTTAAATTTTTGATTGGAGAAGATTTTGGGTTATGTTTTTTGGAAAAGTTCCAAATTAGAGGACAAGAGGAAAGAATAGAACAAACCAATCAAAGTATAATTGTACATGAACTATGATTTAATTTTTTTTTTTTAATAATGTGAACACCAACTTGTTTTAATTAATTAAAATAATGTTTAGATATTGCAATGAAATATATTCCCATGAAAAAATCCATAAGAAAATAAAACAGATTATTAAAGGAGAATAACATATTCCAGTTTAAAATAAAATATTTATTCATTAAAAATAACAAATAATATATAAATCATATATACAATAGAATGATAAACTGAGTATACATTGTTTTTATTACCTTTTTAAATAATTATTTAAAATGTACTAAATAGATAAAAAAACAAACATATTTTTTCTTCTCAATAGTTCTGACATGCAAAATTGGTTATAAATTAAAATTTTAAAAATCATAAACATTTATCATCATTAATTTATAACTAAGACATACAATAACACCCACAGACTAGGATACAAAGATAAAATATAATTTACAAATTAATTTCTAATCTAGTATTGCACAATTGTAGCATGGCAGTGACAATATTTTATACAATATATTATTCAGAAAAAATAAATTGATAATACATGAAAATGTTTTTGTTTTTTATACTCTTATATGGATTTGTATGTGAACAATTTTTTTTTTTTAATATTTTTTACATCTTTGGTAATATTTGACAAATATTGCCTACATTACTTTATTTATGTACATACTATATGAGCACATTTCTTAAATATCTACACTTAAACTTAAAGTTTAGTTTTTATTTGAGATGTTTATTATGTAATCTTATCCATTTGGGCACGAGGGCCTTTGAGCAGATCATGCTAAATACAAACATTCATATTACATTATTATTGGAAGATAACAAACATTAATCTAGATCAGGGGTTCCTAAGTTTTTATTTTTAATAATTATAATTTTGAATTAAGAACTAAACAAAAAATCGTACTGAAACTTGCTACTCTCAAAATATAACACAATATTTAAAATTGAATCATATACCTAGTTACATGGTACAACTCTTTCTCTTTCATCAAAAGTGCTCCATTCCCACATTTCGTTACTGTTACTGTGTTAAAAAAAAAAATCATCAGCCAGTTACCTTATGGAAGGAAAAGAAGAATATAGAAAAAATAACTTACACTTAACTGCTTATTTTCTTTGAATTCAAGACTTTTAATCATACTACTTAACATTATTTTTTATTTAGGAGATTCAAAACGTAAAATATATTAGTATTTTTTTTTTATTATCCAGCAATTGGAATGCAACATTATTCACTGATCATTTATAACAGCTCCAGAATGAAGATAGTGATTTTTTCGCTTTTCATGGTTGTACCAAGGAACCATTGTACAAAGAAATGGATAAGAAAGATTACAAGAATGTTGTCTAAATAAAAAAAAAAAAATTATATATCTGTCTTAAACGAGGTAGTATTGAGAATGTAGGTTGAATTTATTATTTAATGACTTTACAGTCGAATATAGTTTAAGAAGATAACTATTTATGTGAGGTCTTTGGTTGTTGCAGAATGAAACCAAGAGATTGCATAGAATTTTTCAAAATTAAGAGTTTACTTAATCTTATGTTTTTGTTTGTTTTGTTTTTTTATGAACTAAACAATATAATATAATTTTACAAAAAATACTAGGGTTCTAACAGTTTTGATCTCATTTACTTTTATAAAAATTACTGAATTTTCTTAAGCTAGTGAGTTTCCACTATACATCTAATGCTTCAACAACAAATAAATAAGAATGTATGCTTAAAAATACATAATTACTATATTTTACTTTTTATATCTTCTATAGAGAAGAGTAATGGAACTGTAACAACTTAATAAGTTTAAGAACCCCTGCACTAATTTACTTACATTTAACTTAATGACCTTAAAAATAAATAATTATTTACAAGTATTTATGGATATTTTTTTATCATATGCGATGACATCCAAGGAAAATATTCATCACCATTGCAGTTTCATATTTATGATTTGATTATTAATTACAGTGAGAACCAGTAAACCAGTGTGATCCATAATGATACATTGAACAAGTAGGGTGCGGTACATTTGAGCTTTTTATTCCTTAACTAAAAATATTTTTTTATTTTCTGCTGATTAATAGATACTTTTTTTAAATAATGCATTAGATTCATTCTTAATTAATATTTTTTTCTATTTAGATTAATCAAAAATTGACCATGCCATATCAAAATAAACTTGAGAAAATCTATGCATTGGCACTGTTGTAATTTTATTTTTAACTATTTCAGATAGTTGAACATTTAATGGTGATACATTAAATTTTCCTATTACTCTCTTACCTGAGCAGATAGATCTTTTTATTTTTAAATAAACATGTACCAGATAAAAATTCAAAATCAACTATGTTTATGAAGACCGTTTTGAGGAAGCTGGTGAAGTAAGTATAGACAAGTGATTTAAACCATAGAGCACCATTCTAGGGTTGTTCCTTAAATTATTTTGTCAAATTTAAATTACTTGAGTAGTATTCATTTTTTAAAGTAATTTTCTTTAGTAGGAAATTTTCCTTTTACCACTCAAAAGTGTTTATATCAATGATTTTGGCACCTTTGCACAAATCAAAGGATAAATATGCTCTTTCGATTAACCTGATTATTCTAAAAATATTGTGGATACACATTCAGAGAGTTCACTGATAAATTGGGGGTTTTCAGGTACCTCAGGTAATCAAAGGGAATTGAGGCATAACCACCGATACGCCCCGGATTCGATGTCGGTTTGATAGGAGTACCGTCTCGTTCTGTTGCTGGAGTGCTGTCATCAGGAGTCTCTGGGAACAGGACAGGACCATTCTTGTTATCGTAGGCTTCCTTAGGTATCTTGGAGGGCTCTGCTTGTGGCATCATGATCGCCATTCCGCCGGGCACGTAGTGGAAGGTCGGGGCAAGAGGAATGTATTTGACCTTCATCGGGCGATGGTCGGGGAGATCGTCGTGGTGCTGGAAGATGGGCTTGATTACGTGCTGTCCTGGCTTGATGCCATTGAGGGGCCTCTTGACCGGACGCCAGGGGCCGGGTATCTGGTTCGGTGAGGAAGGCTGCTTGGAGTACTGCTGGAGCTTGGGCTTCCTGGACGGCTTGTGCGGTTGCTGCTGGTAGCTGGGGAGCATGGACGGCCTGTAGATGGCGGGTGGCGGCGCAGGCTTGCTCTGGCTCGGGGTTTGGAAGAGCTGGTGACCTGAAGGACTTGAAGTCTTGACGACCGCGTTGAAGCCGTTGGTGCCGTCGGCCGTGTAACTGACCGTCCGCACGGAGCCGTCCGGCTGCACGAGGCTGTACTCGCCCTTTACCTGGTCACCGTTCCTCTCCTCCCATTGGTCCTTCATGTCTCCGGTGTGAGGGTCCTTCACTCCGTACTTGAACGAGTAGTTGGGCCTTGTCTGTGAACAGTTAAATAAAACTATTTAATTATTTATTTCAGATTTTTTTTTTTCAAAATAACGTTTAAATTGGTTGATCTCATGTAATTACGTAAAATCCCAATGATCATTTGTATTGTAAGTAACAGAGGTGTCCACAAGGAGGTTCCTTTCGAAAGGATTATGAATTATATGGAATGAAAAATATCCAAACTGGGAACTAGGGGAAACCTGGAACAATTCACATCAAGTGTAGATCTACGATTTTTCTAATTCTACATTTTCTTCACTTTTTTAATAAGATATGAGTAATAAAATGAGACAGAAATCTTGGAAAAGAAGATAATTTGGGCCATCGACCTTGGTGGGGATGAGAACTCCTGGTAAGCAATGAATTTTAAAAAATCAATTTAACCCATGAACAGTGATAAAAAAGTGATATTTCTCTGTTAAAAAAAATATTCAGTAAAACTTTTTTCAAAATTTTCATATGTTTTATTTAAAATATAGGTAGGAGAACATATTTCAAATAAGGAAATACAATTTTGTGCCCCGGAAGTAAACGACACCATGTCCATTTTTCATTAAATTTTTTGATAGCGAAGAAACAAATTTTAGTAGCTCTAAATTACGGATAATTGACATCCAGAAAAAATGCAAAAATGGACATGGCGTTGTTTACCTCCGGAGTACAAAATTAAGCAGTAAAATTGTCTTACGCTAAGCCTAAGACAATTGTTAGTAGCAAAGGTACTAAAACTATCAGGTAACTACAAAGTTTGGAAAATAGGAGCAGTAGCTAAAACTAGTAATTTGAAAGTTGTAAACGATTCACATATGCAACTTGGAATTTTCAAAAATTGACAAATCGATCGGTACGAAAAAAAATTCATTCTATAATTTTAAAAAATCACATATCTAATTGTATAATGCATGAGGATGTAAAGTTGTAATTAAAAACATTTTTAGAATATAATAATTCAATAACATAAAAAAACATTAATTTCTATTTTTCTGGAAACAGCTGAACGAAAGTTACCTGTCTGAAGTATTCATTTCACGATATAATAAATATCAAAAGTTGTGCTAGTTATAATTAATCAAAAACTGTCAAATTATTAGCTGACAGGTGTTGATATAGAATCCAACTGGCAGAAAGCAGGTTGCCCGTGATCTTAGTCCGTATCGCAATTAGCAGAGGTGATGCAACTGGGATTCAGTGTCAGGGCTAGCTGCGACTGCATTCCTCTGTGCCTTTTCCACCCCATCCATCATTAGCTCTCGTTTTCTTTCCTCGCCTTCCTGTCATAATTGAAATCTTTCCTTCATTGAAGATATTTATCTTATACGTCCACCAGCATTGTTGTGAGTAATTGTACAGTTGTATTCTCGATCATGTAATGAATTAAAAACGAATTGAATACGCCAGATGATTCGCTGATCTCTTTAAGGATTCATTGATGTATACATTTTAGTTATTTTGTACTAGTTATCTACATATTATATAAAAGAATATCCTTATCGTGGAAAGTTATTTTTTTTTTTTTATACTGAACCAATCTACACCTTCTTGTTAATATGATGCTTTTTAAATTTAGTAGCGTATTTAAGATCGAATCCACAGATCGTAATGGAATACGCCTTTATTCAATTATGAAGGATTTTATCTATAAAATATAAGATATTTCGATAAAATATCTATTATCAACTATTAATTATATTTCCCTTGATAATTGGGGAAATAATATATATTTTAAATAAATAAATAAAAATATGAGGTTAAATTGATTCCATTTTCATTCATGATTTTTCGTTGATAGTCACAATAACATGTATTGCATAGATAACACTAAGACATAGAGCTGTGGAGATCACTAGCGGATTCAGGATTTAATTTTGGGAGAGCTTCAGCCCGAAAGAATTTTTTTTTTCGTATATATATATATATATATATATATATATATATATATATATATATATATATATATAACGATAATTAATTTGAAAAAAAAAAGAAAGAAAGAAACATTTTGGGGAAGGGGGAGATGGGCTTCATCCCGAAAGCCTCCTCCCCTCCCCGTAGATCCACCTGTGGTGGAGATGGTGTGGGAAGAGAAATAGTGGAGGAAAAAAGAAAAAAAAACTAGAGGGGGACATAAATATAGCTAAAGTAATATAAAAAAATAACATAATAATATTTAGCATGAATCGCGAATACTAACGGTAATATTACTATTATAACATAAAAATAATTTTCTCTACACTTTCATTTATTCTCAAGAATTATTGCGATTTAGAATATGTAAATGTCTTCAGCTCTGAAGTTAATATATCGAATTTCGTTTGAAAAATATCAAAAAGGAATGACACTATTAGTCCAGTCCCCTTATCAGGAAAATAGAACGCTGCTTGAATCAAATATCAAATATGGTATTAGGTTTTTTTTTTTTTTTTTTTTTTTTTTAATGTTGCATATGATGATACCAAAATGTCAAATCCAAACTTTAGGCTACAATCTTAAAAACTGTTAACCTTGATCACCGGTAGGGTTAATGTGTTGCACGCTTTGATCCATGGATTTTAGGACAGATCCACGAAATGAGTTTCGAATTTCCCGCTGTGGTTAGAATACATATCTCTAGAAAACCCCTTATGTCCCTATAAATAGAAATAGCGGGCAGAAGGGAAAGGAAAATAATGTTAAAACTGGGAAATATTTGAATTGTTTTTTTAATTTTCATCCGTTTTGAGCTAGCAGTAACAATTTTTTTCTTAATTTTAATGGTTTTAGTTAGGTACAACTTCTCTAATTTTAGTAAATTAGAGAGCTAATTAACCGTAGTGAACTTTCTAGGGCGAATATATAAATGTATTTATCAAATTAGATTAGGAGCTTCTTGTATAGTAAAACCTTAAGAAATCTGAACAATATTGTACTAAATCCTCATGAAATTTGCTATCTTGTAGTTATTATTGAATGGTCAGTCGGTAAAGCACGATATGAAGGATATTTGATTAAGATGGATTCGGCATGAAGTTCGAAGTAATCCATGAATGTTACAGTTGAAGGCAAGATACTGCGTTATAGATCGAATACAAGGTGGATTGAAGGAATTAACAATGATATCAAACAGCTGCCTAAAAAAAAAAAATAGGAAATCAAACAGCCTTAGACAGATGTGGAACAAATTTTCCAAGGCGGCCGCTGGATACCAAGGTTTTCAAAGTACACATAAAAAATATACCTATCAGTAACATTGATGTTTGAGTCGATAAAAGTTTTAATCAATGCAAAATCTTTAAAAATTTGATTCGATGCATCACATAATTTTCTTTTATCATCTTGATTTCAGTATTTTTTTTTTAAATTAATTATAGTCCTTGGTACAGACCAAGGATAAATACACATTTGCTTTCTACTTGGATCGTAAGATAATTTAATCACAAAATCGGTAAAAAAAGTGGCCTTCAAAAATATTGAGCCGTTTGGTATGTCCTATATCCCCAAAGTTATATATGACAAACGGCCCAATATTTTTGAAGGCCACAATTTTTTCGATTTTGTGATCAAATTATGTTAAGATCCAAGTAGAAAGAAAATGGGTATTTAAGATTTTCTAGTAATTAAATAGACAAAGTTTTCCACCCTCGAGATTTAAATCGCGCCAATTCTAAGATTTTTCATAAATAAAATAGTTGCAGGTCACGATGAGATAAAACTATTTACGAAGTTTCAGGCGGATGTTAATAATTTGATAAAAAGGGGTCTGTATTTTTTTTTTTTTTTTTTTTTTTTTTTTTTTTTTTTTTTTTTTTTTTTTTTTTTTTTTTTTTTTCCTACCCCCCAGGAATTTCTTGAATAAATTCAGTATGTATATAAATGTATATATACATAAATTTTCAACTTTCCTTTTATTGCCCAAGGGCATTTTAAGTTAAGAGGGCTCTGCACGCTGTATGCGTTCTTTGCATCTGTGGCCAGGGGTCTGTACCACGGACTAATAACTTTAATGTTACCCAACTCAATTTTTAAAATCGAGTATGACTTTTTGGAGCTAGAGTATTTTAACAATAAAAGATAATACATATATTGCTTATGCGGCTAAATCTGTTACAATGTATCTAGTTTGTTAGTTAATTTGATTTCTTCCTGAATTATTACATGTTGTTGGTTACAATTTACAATTGAAAACTCCCCAACTCCAAGAGTTTTCATAAATAAAATGGTAGTAGGTCACGATAAAACTATTTACTAAGTTTCAGGCGGATGTTAATAATTCGATAAAAAGGAATCTGCACCACGGACTTTAAATCTTAATAAATTTTTGTACATTACTTTAATTATTAATAAAAACTTAGACAATTAATAAAAATGACGATCATTTTGTGCAACATTTATTTTTTTGTTTATTAAGCTTTTAAAAAGCTTCTTTTAAAAAGTCTGTTATATTACCAGTTTAATAATAATAATATACAAGTTTATATTAATGTTGCTTCTATTAAACAGCATGGCAATGTTTTTATTAAAAAGCTACGTTAAATATCTTTCGTATATTATGAGTATATGAGGAATGAAATGACATCTTATTTAAATGACATCTTTCTGAATTAATTTAAATTACATAAAAATGTAAAACTGTAAAAAATCACCAAGAAGAGGCAATAATAAATATTAGGTTATAATTGGAAAAAAATGAACCAAACAGCAAGTATGTGTGTAAAGAAAAACAAAACAAAAAACTGTCAACGTT